CGTGGCGTGCGCTTTCAGCGCGCTGCTCATCGCCTGCCTGCTGCTGCGCGTCTTCAGGTGGGTCGCGTCGCCCCGCTCCTTGGTCAGCTGGCTCTGCGGCGGGGGCGCCATGCTGCTGCCCCCACGCGCCGGTCCCACCTGCGCGCCAGGTGCTCTGTCTTGGCGCGCTCCCGCCAGACGTGCACCTTTCTGCTCTCCCTGCCAGGGTGGGATCACGAGGGCAGGGCATGTGTGTGTGTGTGTGGGTGCATTTGGTTCTTCCAGGTGCTAATTTCGGGAACCGTTTCCCACTTTAAGGCCGTTCGGTATGTCCCAGGTCCTCGATTTCCATTGCTTTACTCTCTCTAATCACGGTTTACACCAGCATTGTCACTCTGAGTTCCGACCACCTTCCACGGAATTTATTTTTATGCCCACTTTATAGACGAGGTAACAATCAAAGAGGGGTGGCTTACACAGGTACTCAGAGGAGGAGGGACAATTTGGAGTAGGGTTCTCCTAACATGAACCTCGCTCCTGTTCTCTCCATATGACCTGCAACTCTCTCTCTCCCCCTATCCCACTCGTTATTCCCCTCTTTTCACTCACAGAAAGCAGAAGGGGAGAGAGACGGGGACACCTGTTTTACACCTGATTTGGTAATAGATTTCAGGAGGTTTGGTGACCCTCGACAGCTGCAGTGACTTTCCATTGCTGTCCCAGTGCACATTTACAGGGTCCCAAGAGGGACCTCAGGGAAGGTTTGTAGATTGTTCAAGGCCAAGGAGAAAGTGTCCAGGAAATTTAGACGATCCCTGGAATAGTGAGGTGGACAGGTTCACAGGGGAGGTCAGTTGGACATTTCTCTGGAATGCTAGGGAAATCCTGGCTTGTAGGAAAAAAAACCCAAATACATCCTGTTATTTGCACCAGCCAGTCAGGAAATGTGTGTGTGTGTGTGTGTGTGTGTGTGTGTGTGTGTGTGTGTGTGGTGGGGGGAGTGGTTATTGGCCCTCTGTCCCACCCACAGTGTTTTGATGGTGACAACTACTGAAGATAGGGCAAAGGGCTTGCTCCTCTGGCAAACATCGGGGCAAGAGCAGAAATTAGACTGGGGAAAGTTAGGGTTGGGGGCTACGCATAGAGGTTTGTATGATGTTAAGTCTGGGCATTTCCTTTGGGGCCCATATGATGAAATTGAGAACAGAGAAGAGGGTCTCCAGGTCCTGTGTTTGCTCCCACTTCCAATGTTTTGGCTCTGCCCAACCTTCCCACTTCCCTCATTCCTCTGCTGATGAACTTCGCTCGTTCTGTGTAGCCACAGCCTAGGCATGGAATTATTTATGTGAGGTGTTTGGGGCCCTTACATACTTGTCTCCCTTAACCAGCCCTTCTGAGCCCTGTCTTTTTTATCTCTTGCTTTTTCCTTTTACACCCATGCCCTGGATTGAGCTTTTCTGTCTCTAGTTGGATTTGTACTCTACATCTTCCAAGACGGCATGCTCGACCCTGAGTGGTTTCCTTGGACAGCCGAATGGGGTCCTTGCTTTCTTCTCTGGCCTCTCTAGCCCTAACCTTGTGTCTCCTTCACTACACACAATATCCCACCATGCTGGGTTATAGTTCCCAGACTCAGGGAAGAGCCCCAGAGGGTGAGATGCCCAGTTCATTTTAGTGTTTCTGTGCAGGATGAGGGTCTGGCATTCAGCTGAGGCAGCGGCATCTTTTACTGACTTCCTCATTGTTCACTTGGAGTCGGCGAACGCCTAGAGCAGCTTGGAGTCTGGAGGTTTGAAGCATTTAGCTCAAAATAGTCCCAGCCCACACAGCTGTGTACTTTTAAAAGAAGGCATCTGAACTATTTTGCCAGTCTGCTCTTTATTACCCAAGAGTGGGGGAGAATACCAGGCATCGTGTGGCCAGATGTGGGGGACAGGGGACAGGGCTGTGAGTTTAAGTAGGAGATGTGACACTCAGGCCTGGAAGGGAGAGCCCTTGGCTTGGGTGTGGAAGGAAGGAGGGGAGACTACTTGATAAAATAAACTGCTTCTGGTTACGATCAGTATCCTCTTCCTGGGAAGGCATGCTTGTTAATTGAGTCTCTAGGCAGAGAGCTGCCAATCTGGATTCTGATGTAGAGAGAGTTTGTAGCATTTTACCTCAGGGAAGGGCCTTGATGGTACCCAGTGCCTTAGTGTTCTTTTGGAGATGTTGCTCCCTCAGAGTATGGGACAAGTATTGGTTTATAGAATATCCCACAGGTCTGTGTGGCTAAAGGAGGGGCTGCACCTGGACTCTGCGGCTGTGTGCTCTGTTCTGTGGCTGCTGTCTGTAGTCACGGTCCCCTGTGGACTTGATTAACTGGGCTTCCAGAATGTCTGGGCTGTTGGCTGGGGGTCTTTTGTACCTGTTCACTTTCTGTCTCTTTAGCTTGTAGGCTCCGAGTCCTGGTCTTCCAGTCACCTAGAATGCCCGAGACCGTTTCACTACCATCTAAACTTGGGTTGGTGAAGTGGTCCCACCCACCACCACTTTTGCATGGGTTGCACTTTCCTCATCTTTCCTGTGTCACAATGATGTTCTTTAGGCTGGGGTTCCTGGATGACCCCTGTTCCTCTGCACTCCATCCTCCCTCTTCCTCTGGAGTGACGGTTTCTTTCTTTGATCCTCTCAATCTCCCTCTTGGATCTGTGGGCAAGGCTGTTTCTTCATGATTGTCATCGTGCCATGTTCTTGAGCCTCCATTTAAGTTCTGCCTAGTGCTCTTCTGCGCTTAACTGTGCTGTACTCCAAGGGCTCTCTAGTGGCATTGTATGGTCCTTTATGGATTTATTTATTTACTTGTTTTTCTTTCTTTTTTTTTTTTGGATTGGATTTTCCAATCCTATAAGGTCCCAGTTTTTCCTGTGCTAGCCAGTCTGGTAGCCATTAGCCACCTGGGGTTATGGAGAGCTGGAAACATAATTCTCTGAACTGGGAGGTGCTGTGACCACAAGATACACATGGAATTTATTAAGGGATGCTTGACTTTTTTTTTTTTATTTTGCTAAGTCTTTGAAGTAATGTTATTTTTTTCAAATTTGCAATTTTGATGTATTGGGTTAAATATATTAAAATTAGTGCTGGGGATGCCCTTCAGTGTTCGTGCCTGTTCTCTCTCTCTCTCTCTCTCTCTCTCTCTCTCTCACACACACACACACACACACACACACACACAAGTATGAGTGAGCATGCATACATGCCAAGTGTCTGACAGGTTTAAGACAGGTTTAACCATGTCTTCAGATCTGTTTCTTTTGTTGAGCCTAGCAGTCTGGTCTCAAGATCAAGCAATCCTTCTGTCTTTCTATTGTTTTGATGAAACACCGAAAGCAAGTTGGGGAGGAAGGAGTTTATTAGGCTTACACTTCAGCATTGCTGTTCATCATTGAAGGAAGTCAGGGCAGGATCCTGGAGGCAGGAGCTGATGCAGAGGCCATGGAGGGGAGCTGCTTACTGGTTTCCTCCACATGGCTTTCTCAGCCCACCTTTTTATAGAATACAGGGCCAGCAGCCCAGGGATGGCACCACCCACCCTCACCATGGTCTGGACCCTCCCCCACTGATCACTAATTAAGAAAATGCCCTACAGTTGAATCTGATGGAGGTATTTCCTCAACTGAGGCTCCTTCCTCTCTGACTCCAGCTTGTGTCAAGTTGACACACAAAAACCAGACAATATACCTCCTGTCTCTGCCTTCCAAGTGCTAAGATTACATCATGTTTGGCTGTAGGTTTTCATGTATTTATGAAGGCTCTGGTAAAACATACCATAAACTCAGAAATTTAGAGGGGAAAATACTGTGTTGGTTTTTCGTGTTGCTGAGACAAAAATCCTGATAAAACAGGCTGAGCATGAGCTGTTGAACTGAGCTCATGGTTTCAGAGGTATCTGGACCTCAGTGCTGTGGACCTGTGGTGAGGCAGCACATCATGGCCAAGAGATTAGGGTGGAACCGAATTGCTCACTTACTGGTCACTGGGAAAAAGAGAGAGTACCCGAACATGTCCCACTCTGTCCCTAGCCTGGATTCCCCTGGGACACGAAATCTATACAACTAGCTCATTGCTGACCCTTTTGTGTTTTTAATTGGGAAAACTCCCTGGTCAGGCCCCCTTCCCTCAAGCTCCCAAAGCACACTTGGGTTTTGAATTTCCTGTCCCTCTGCATTACCAGGCTGATGGCTGCCAAGGGCAGGGCTTCCATGGCTCTCTAGCACCTAGTGTCATTCCAAGAATAGGCTGGCATTTAATAAAGATATTTTTAGCAAAAGAATGTTGAACTCCCAAGCATTTTACATTGTTGATGACTCTCCAAGTGTCCCCTGTGACTAGATGCATGGTCAATGCGGGATGCCTATGGAGTGGGAATTTGGGTGGTACCTGTTCATTGTCTTAGCAAGGCAGACCTATTGGGGAAGAGAGCGTGGTGTCATTGCTTTTAAATTAACACTCCTTGCTGTTTGTTTTCCCTGAAGGTGTCACCTTGCTAGACAACAGTAAAAACATGGATCCAAGGAAGAGTTTAATAAGAGGAAAGAGCCATATAGTGAAAACCAGGAACTTTTAATTAGGCAGCCACACTGCTAAGGTCCACTTGTTTTTCACTTGGATATTATTATTCTGATGTTAATGACGAGAAGAAGATGAAATGCATGTATGCTGGGATATTCACAGCAGCTCTGTTTCATAGTGAAAAATTTTAAATAACTTATGGAAGAGCTGAGTGTGGTGCATACTTGTAATCTCAATACTGAGGAGGCTGAGGCAGGAGGATCATGAGTTGGGTGCTAGCTGGTACGCAGTATGACCTTGTTGAAACAAAACACAAAAACCAAGACACATTCAGCAATTGACACTGTTTAAAAGAAGATGGTAGTCTGTGATGGTTTAGTACTGAGGGGCAACTTCACAGGGCCTAGAGTCATCTAGAGGATGAAACTTTAGATGTCTGTGATGGAGTTCCTAGATTGGGTTTGTTGAGGTGAGCGGATATACCTTAAATGTGGTCAGCACTGTGGCATGGGCTGGGGTCCCAGGTGGAGGGAGAAGGGGAGACTGAGCTTGGCATCAGTGTTCACATCTCTCTGTTTCATGACTGCATGTGCCATGTGATGGGTGCCTCATGCTCCTGCCACCATGGTGTCCCAACCATGCTGCATTGTACCTTCAAAATGTGAGCCAAAAT